CGCAATAGGGCATTATCTAGTACATGTAGGGAATTAGTGGCTGCTAGGACAATAACATTATCACGAGGATGAAATCCATCCAACTCAGTTAGTAATTGATTAAGGGTCTGCTCAGCGTGTCCGGGATGGGTCGAATATCTTTTACGACCAATTGAGTCAATTTCATCAATGAAAACAAAGCAAAATCCATATACTTTGGCTAGTTCGCGGGCCCGGCGAAAAAGTTCCCGCATCCGTCGGGCTCCCAACCCCACTACTGACTCCTCAAATTCGGAACCTGAGCGAAAGAGAAAAGGCTTCTGACATTCGCCGGCAGTAGCCCTAACTACCAAAGTCTTGCCATTGCCAGGCGGCCCATATAATATCGTGCTAGTAGGAACCTTGATTCCTCTTTGTCAAAAGGGTCTGGGATTCTTAACGTATTCGGCTATTTCGTTCAATTCCTCTTTTACTTCATCGTAACCTCCCACGTCTTTGTAGCCAATTTTCGGAACATCTACTTCTCCGGCTCTCCTTCCCCAATTGCGAAAAGGATAAGCAATCGTCCCAAGGATATTGGTGCCAAAAAACGTATCAAAAATGAAAAATGCTACTAAAAGAGAAGCAAAAGTAATTACCCATTTGCTTATATTCTCAAAAGTAAACCACGAAGTTTTTTCTTTAAAAAGATTAAATTTACTATGGGACTCAACAGTGGCAATTTTGAACTTTTTGGAGTTGGTAAAACCGACAAAATCGATATCTTTGTCTCTTACTTCGTATGGTTCGAGTTTACAAAGAACATTGTAAATAGTAGGTTTGCCGACCAGCCTTTTGAAAAAGTTCTTTGCCTCTCCATAAAGACGATAGTGGCCTTTTTTCCCCCAGGGATGGGCGGCATATTCAGCCTTTTGTCAATTTATTTTATCCACTTCGGCCTGGGTCAATCCAGCAATTTCCAAGGTCCCGTCCTCTTTCTTATGCAATTCAAAAGTTTGTTGGTCGGGCTTGGAAAAATGCACTATAAGAAAGCCGACCCCAATGACAAGAAGAAGTAAGATTATTAATGGACCGAGCCATTTTCATGAGTTTGCGGACTTAGTATTTTTTTTTTCTAGCGCTTGGTCTTTCATTATTTAATATTAATTATTTTTAATAGCCACAATGTGGGCTTGACCGGCGCTTTTTACTATCTGAAAACCATTTCCTAATTCGATGATTAAATCGGTTTTTGGACTGATAAACAATTGTTTGTAAACTTCATGCAAGAGTTTTTTTTTTCGTTGGTGGAGAATTCCACCCGTGGCTCGGTTAATTCAAAAATAAAGTAAACGCAAATATATTTCGGGTTCGTATTCATTTTTTTTAGTAAGTTTGAGAGTCGAATGTGAAATGCCAGGCATTCCCGGAGAGCAAATGATTAATCGTTTAGCAGCAGTTTGCACGACCTTTTTGATTTCTTTTAATTCACAGTTTTTTTTTTCAATTTCTCGGTCCAATTGGGCTTTTTGTTCGGGGTTTAAATGGGCTAACTGCTGGCGAATAATATTGCGCTGATAAATCAGCAGTTGGTTAGTAGTGTCGGTTGCGTAATCTATTTTGTTTTCAATTAAATATTGATAAATCTGCTGCTTGTCAAGAGACAAAAGGGGACGGAGTATTCAGCATTTGCCGTATTTGGTGCGAGCGGGCAAACCCCAATATTCTACTAATGATTTTTTTTGCTTTTGGAGCAAGTAAGTTTCGCGGTGGTCGTCGCGGTGGTGGGCAACAACGATATATTTAGTTTGGTATTTGGCGGCTAGTTCCTGAAAAAAATTGTAGCGAATTTGGCGGGCTCGGTCTTGAAAATTACTGATTGAATTGTATTCTGAATTTTGAACTTGGTAGATTTCACAGGGCAAAGAATATTTTTGACAATAATTTTTCACTATTTTTTCATCGTAATCGCTGTTTTCTCGCTTATGGTAGTTGACATGAGCGACCACCAAATTGTATCCTGCGAGACACATTTTTTCGAGCAAAAAGAGACTATCTGGACCACCCGAAACAGCTAGGATATACAATTTATTTTTGGCAAGTATTTTACTATCAACTA